GGGGGTTTAGGGGTTCAGGGTTTAGATGTTAAGGTTTAAGGTTTAGGGTTTAGGGGTTTACGGTTCGGGGTTTAGGGTTTAGGGTCTAGGGGTTTAGGGTTTAGGCTTTAGGGGGTTTAGGGGGTTTAGGGGGGTTTAGGGTTCAGGGGTTGAAGGTTAAGGGTGTAGGGTTTAGCGTTAAGGGTTTAGGGTTGGAGGGTTGAGGGTTGTAGGGTCAGGGGGCCTTAGGCAGTAGTGAGTAGATGTATTTCTCCCCTATCATCCGTAAAGTAACCCTTGGTGAAAACACCATTCTTGCCTACATACAAAGTCCGTTTGACCCTCGACGGGAGAATTAATTCGAAGGAGCCCTCTAGGTACTACCCGAACCCCGAAAGTAGGTAAAATTATAGCCCCAACCCCTTAAAGCAGCCCAAAAGCCAATTTTTCTACCTACTTTTGGGGCTCTGGTATTATGAGGATGAGATGAGAACTACCGTCCAAAACTCTCAACCCTGAATCCGAAACGCTACATCCCAAGCCCTCGACTCTAAACCCAAAACCCTAAGCCCTAAACCCTAAATCCTACATCCCAAACCCTTATATAATCCCTTACATACTCCCTATAAGGAGTTTATACTAGGACCCATACTTCCTACACCATACCAAGCCTGAGTTAGCCTGCGGCTGGCCTCCTTGCGGTAGGATTTGGAAAGCTCGTGCAGTTGAAGTGCGTCTTTACCTTACGTGGCCGGTTCTGGATTTAGGATTTAGGGCTTGGGTCTATAGGCCCGGATTTAGGCAATTTGGGGTTATATTGGGATTATATAGGGTTTTAGGTCTATAGACCCGGATTTAGGGATATATTAGGATTATATAGGGCTCGGGTCTATAGGCCCGAACTTAAGGTTATATTATATTAGGATTCTATAAGGTTTTGGCTCTATAGGCCCGGATTTAGGGTTATGTTAGGATTAAATAAAGTTTAGGGTCTATAGGCCCGGCTTTAGGGCAGGTAGGTTGCGCATGAGCATGCCAGCGTCGCCCACGTCGTCGGGGGCCGGTGGTGCTAGCTCCCCTTCCTCGCGCGAGAGCAGTCCAATGGCGGCCAGGCAGAAGTAGAGCCACATCCTGGGTGGCTACTCAGGAGCTTAAGTCCCAGTATAAGCTCCATAAAAGGGGGTATGGATTACATAGGGGTTTGGGGTGTAGGATTTAAGGTTTAGGGCTTAGGGTTTGGGGTTTAGGGTCTAGGGCTTGGGGTGCTGCTAAGGAGCTTAAGTTAAGGTTGCGGGTGTAAGGTTTAGGGTTTGCTGCAGGGTTCAGGTTTGCTGTTAAGGAACTGAAAAGAAGTCACCATGATATGGGTAGATTGTAAACCATAGGGTTTTCTTATTCTTGTAACTGAGCTTAAATTCCTTAACGGCAACCCAGCATCACCACACAGATCACGTTTGCCAGCAGCACATACACGTCTCCCAGCATGCAGCCATAGAACGACCAAGTGATCGAGTTGATGAAGTATAAGGGCCAAGACCTGGTGTGCTTATCAAAGCTATAGGGTTTAGGGTTTAGGGTTTAGGGTTTAGGGTCTCTTTGGGCTCCCTTTTACATCAGGGGGTTCAGGGTTTAGAGCGTTTAGGGTTTAGGGTGCCACAGCCCACAATGTGGACAACCCCCCACCTGGTGTCCATGCCTGCTAGCGAGCCGTTCTCGCGCGCCCGAAGGAGCGCCCGGAACGGCGCCAGAGCCGTGCCGCTGCACGTCATGACGCCGACAAGGCCTAGACCATGCCGAAGGAGGAATGCCTTCGACCTGGGCATCTGCTAGACTGGGTTGCTGTTAAGGAACTGAGTTCAGGTTACTATATTTGGGAAACCCTACTAACTACTATTTATACCTATCATGGTAACCTAAACTGAGTTCCTCAGCAGCAACCCAGTAGAATTAGGGTTTAGGGCGCCATTGCTTCTGCAGGAAGGTCCTCCCTTTCCCCAGGGAAGAGCTGTTTATGGCGGAGGTTCCTCAGCGGAAGAAAGTTGAAACCATGAGTAGGACATCGCTAGTAAGGAATATGTCAACTTTAAAAAGCCTATCCGGATCTAGGGTTTAGGGCTTTAGCGCTTAGGGCTTAGGGTAACCCCCGACAAGCAGGGACCAGAAATTTCCTGCAAGATCCTTCATAGGCGGATTACTGTTGATCCAACCCCAATATATTTTGTTAGTTCACGTTTAATTTTCCATCATCCCTAAACCCTAAACCCCATTGTAGTAGTTCTCATCTTATTTTCCATTGCCCCTAAACCCCAAAATGAGGACCCCATGATTTGCGAGAAAGGGTCCTTGCTTGAGGGTTTGCAACTACGAAAAAAACCCTCTGGGCTTAGGGTTTAGGCTGGGCAAGATCCCAGCAACACGATTCCTCTTTTTCTCAGAGATCATGAATATTCTTGGGGCTATGACGACGGCCAAGACTACTTTACTCTTGTTTTCAACCTTCACTTTAAGCATCAGAACTGTCTTAGCTTGACATGCTTTTTCGAGTAAAGGTGAAAAGCGCATGAACGACCCTAATTGAATGCTAAGCCCTAAATCCCTGAACCCGTTACCTTAAACCCTTAATTAACCCCCAAACCCTAGTAAGATTCTAGAACCACATGATCCTGGAGACACCATGGGCAGCAAGATCCAGAGCCGGCCAGGGCCGGCAGTGCCAGCTTTGCTGGGTTGATGTCAAGGAACGTAACTCAAATCACTACATCATGCTTAGGGTTTAGGTTTAGGGTTGGTTACTATACCACGGAAGCCCGATCATCTACTCTGCACAGTATCATGGTATAATCGTTTAAGTTCCTTGACAACAGCCCTGAACCCTTAACCCTAAGGCCGCAACCCTAATTTAAGTTCTCAAACAGCCACCCAGCTTGCCCAAAGGGTCCAAAGTACCAATATGGTACAAAGTATGGTTTCTGTAGTAGTAATTTCCCTTATGGTTTGGGTAAGTATGCCCCATAGAGGTACTAAGGACCCTTTGGGTTGGGCATTGGGCTTTCTACCGCCTGGCCGGGCCCAAACGGCTGAGGTCATTTTCGAGCCGTTTAGGACTCGGGTTGCAGGAGTTGGGGTTTAGGGATTAGGGTTTACAGGGTTTGTAGGGTTTAGGGCTTAGGATTTGGGGTCTAGGGTCTGGGGTTTAGGATTTGGGGTTTAGGGTGTGAAGGTGTAGGGTTCAGGTGGTCAGGGTTTCGGTTTGGGAGCCATGTGGCAACCTTGAACAGCATGGATGTTCAAAAGAAACGAATTGCAGAAGTCTGGAATTCCTGCCCTAAACCCTAAACCCTAAACCCCAAACCCTTCATGGAGCCAGGCTTTCAGTTTCATAGTGACATAATTTCAGTTGAGAGCTAATCAGGTTGGATACTATCCACAGTAATGGCGAATCACATGGAGGATGAAATGGACGCTACTGTATGTAGGGTTATGTAAGAGTTATATGGGGGATATGAGCTTCTGTGGGGACTGGAACCGGATAATGCTACCGCGTTTCCAGGTGTTGACGTTAGCAGGAAAACTCGGTCATGCTGGAAGACACAATATATTCATTGTTTCAAGTTGCAATGTATCGTATGCGATCGCTAACTAGCTAACATTTGGAAAGGGATGCTGCGTGACCTTAGAAGGTAACCTTTCTTTCACCGGTTCCCTACGCTAACCCCCTGGTAGGCTTCCATTCCATTAGGCCTCGCTATACCCCTCACCATCCGTAAATGTCCCTGGCTAAGTGGGAAACCCAGAGGGGGATCGCATGCGGGAGCTACAAACAATAAGCCCTCAATCCTTATTGCAAACTCCATTGTAGCTGTATACGTCAAGTTCACCTAAAAGCCCCGAGTCTATATTGTGCTTACAAGTTGTAGTTGGGTCAGACGACAAACTGTGAGTAGGTCATAGTTGCCTGTGGGCCTTTCATTACACCGAAGCCCTGAACCTGAAGGACCGAACCTGGTTTAGGGTTTAGAGCTTTGGGTATAGAGTTTACGGTTTAGGGTTGAGGCATGTTACGGAACATCCGTGTTATACATCCGTGTTATGCATTCAAGTAGCCATCAACGAACGCATGATACTACCTGGTGATAACTTCGGTTTCCGCTGCTCTGAACCCTACAAACCATTGCAGAATCCCAGTTCTCAACTCATTTTCCACTTCCCATGCCATTTTCCAGGTCCTTTTCCATGTGAGTTCCATGCTTAGCTATAGCTGGGACCTCAACCTAAAGCATAACCCTAAGGCTCAAAACAGCCCAAAAAACTTGTTAGTAGGGTCTTTGGGGTTAAAGGCCTCAAAATATGAGTCCTTAGAGCCTCAGGGTAAACAACCGGCATGTACAGGGCCTAGAGTACAAACTCGAGATCTGACTCCCTACGCTCTGCTGAGTTTTGGGTTGAATCAACAATCTGTTCCCCTAGTATTAACACCCCCCCCACGAATATCAAATTCAGGGGCCTTAATACACGGAAGAGACTACCTTGAAAAGGCCCGCCTAAAGAATTGGGGGGGTAGGGTGCTGGAACTACCCCTCAATTGTTCAATTGAAACAATATTATACGTGAATGATCTTCATCGACGAAAGATTCAGTTAAGTTAGTACCTAATGTAAGAGATTAATTGGTTTAGTTCACTAACTGTTGATTTTCCATGGAGTATTGAAGGATGTTCAAGGCAGCCCTATCCAGTTCTTGCAATATATCCATCCTAATATTGATTTTTTTGGGGCCCGAGATTTTTTAGTATTTGGGGGCAGCGGGGGGAGGGGCATTGCTAAATAATGGTGGAAGGGATTATTCCGAAATTCTTGCATGCAACCTGTATACAGATAATTACAAACTCTAAGACCCGAAATATGAGACCTAGACCGTAAACCCTGAGACACTGAAGCCCTTGACCCTAATCCTAAACCCTAAACCCCAAAACCCCCAACTCTAGAGCTCTAAACCCCAGACCCTAAACCCTAAACCTTCCCTTAAATCAATATCCTTAAACCTGAAAACTTAAACCGTAAACCCTTAACCCTAAACGCCTAAACCCTTAAATCCTAGAGCCTAAACCCTAAACCTTAAACCCTAAATCCTAAACCCTTAAATCCTAAGCCCTATACCCTAAACCCTAAAACTTAAACCCTAAACCCTACACCTTAACCTAAACCCTCAACCCTAAATTCCGGCCTCGGAGCAGATGTCGAGCTTCTTGCAACCTACGCGCAGTGGCCACGAAAGCTGAGGATGGGTTTGGGGTATAGGATTTAAGGGTCTAGGGATTAAGGGATTAAGGGTTTAGGGATTAAGGGATTAAGGGTTTTGGGTTTGGGGTTTAGGGTTTGGGGATCAAGGGTTTAGGGTTTAGGGTTTGGGGTTTAGGGTTTAGGGATTAAGGGTATAGGGTTTAGGGATTAAGGGTTTAGGGTATAGGGTTTAGGATTTAGGGTTTAGGATTTAGGGTCAATAGGATGTAGGGTCTGTACGTAGTCTATAGGTTTTAAGGTTTAAGGTGTGGGGTTTAACGTTTAGGGTTTAGGGTGTAGGGCCTAAAGCTATATGTGAACCCCAAAAATATGTAAAATATTGGCCTTAGGGGCTATTTCCGGGGGTTTCGGGCTATTGTGTTACCTACTTTTGGGGTCCAAGTAGGGTTTTGGGGTAGGGTCTATAATGCTTAGGATGTAGGATATAGTCTGCGGGTAAAGCTTAGGGGTAGAGCAGGCAGGATTCAGGGTTTAAGGCTACGGTTGAGGATTTAAGGTTTAGGATTTGCTGCTCAGGGTAGAGGGTGCCCCTGCTTGCAAGTCGCACGGACTTTTCTGCCTTTCCTCCGGCGCATGTGCCATTTAGGGCCAAAATCAGGGTTCATCTGTAAAAGCGGACCTGTGGGAGTAGGGGGATCTCACTATGGATTCTAAGCTAATGTAGACAGGTTAGGACCGGGAAACCCATTATATTTTCCAGCCGCCCATTAGCTGTAGTCTCAACTCCTTGAAAAGCGTAACCTCGGGATTATATTGCGGATTAACCTACGGGTTATTACGGGGGACACTCGGAGTTTAGACTAGAGCTCACAGGTCACGAGTTACGTTCAAGGTGCTCAACCAGAATGGCAACATCTCTTGCATGTGATGTCGTCACTAGAGCCTGGGGCCTGAAAAAACCGTATACCAAATGAAAAACCATGAAACTCCTTCCCTGCACAGAGTATTGAAACACCTGCCCCGCTAACAAATATTCTCTATGTGTACATATACATATGGATACAGAGGGGGGGAATCTATCATCTTACGGATTGGAGGGTGTTTAACACACAGGGGGTAGGGAGTACTTGGGAATCGTTCGCGCCTAAACCCTCGCCATCCTACAAGCCTACACCCCACCTCAGCAACGGAAGAGGTTCTACGATCCGTGTGTCTGCCAAGAGCCAGCCTAAAACATCCCTGAAATGCGCAATGACTGGATCTGGACTAGTACTTGCTTGTGAACCCCCGGGCCCTCTACCCCTCTAATTCAGGAATTTACGCCTAACATCCGCTAAGATCCTTAATGTTATGAAAGGTATACTGCTTGATTGATTGTAAACCTCGATCCCAAGCACTATGTATATATATGGTCACCCCCC